ACCCAGCTTGGGCGACTCGCGTGACTGGAAGAACTTGAGTCGATACTTAAACCCAGTAGATTTCTCGGTCCGACCCATTGAGTTGATTTCTCTCCGTGGAAATTCCAGGAACCGATCCGATTCCCGAAGACCTAAGTCTAATCTAGAATCGACTTTCGCAGAGCTCGGCGGACGACAGCCCGATACTCTGAAGGGAACGCCTCAAGCACGCCCCAGCGCGAGGTCGAGGTGTAGAATGCACCTCCGGCAAATCCATGATCCGTTGAATGCCCCTGGGGCCGGATCAACAACGCGCCTCATCATACGAGCCTGAGGATCCGCGTGCTCCCTATTGGAAACTCATCATCGATCCATCCTCTGAGTCATCCGATTCAAGGGACACCCCTCCTTTTAACCTCTTCAGCTGCGGAACCCCTCCAAGCTCCTCTAGTCGACGTTCAGTCATTTCCAGTCGCGTCCTCAGACTTACCAGTCCCGAGGACCATGGTCATCATCAAGGATCTGGGCCGTCTTTTGCTTCGATCTCGAGCCCCGTGGTGTAGCAGGGTAGTTCTCAACTCGTTCGTACTCCGTCGAAAATCTGAAGCTCGCTTGCGCCTCAGCGAGATTGGCATAGCACGTCGCGGGGATGTCTTCGTGTTACAGGTTGGATCCCTGCCGCTCTCCGGTTCGCTTTTGAATTGAACGAGGTTCTCGTTGTGTTTCTTGTCGCTCGCGGTCCTCCCACACAAACATAGATAAACAACAAGCTGCAATATTCAACGTGCAGAAACGAGCCGTTTAGCGGGCTCTATTTCTCTGCCTTACCCGAGGCGATGTTGTCTTTAATTCACCAGCAGCAGCACTGCCAGCAACGAAAGTGTCGCCGCAAGTTGGAGACTTGCTCAGCGGAATCTCTAGAAGGGGTCCGCGTACTGGGGAATAACACTCGCTGCTCAACGGTACAACGCTCGGTGATTTTTGGCAAAGGACGATATGCATCTGCAGCTGAGCTCAACTTGACCTGACGAAGAGTTCGAATCGAATCGGGCGGATGACACCGAAAGCGCGTGGCACACGGAGGTACTGAGGTACTGAGTATTTAGGTGTCTATCCTCCATTAGGAATCTGTGCTGAAGCAACCCGAAAACGAGTTCGGGACTTCTCATACGGCCCTCGTCTGTATTACTTCCAACGCTCAATGCAAGAACCCAGCGCAACCCTGCATCCCTGGCTCTGCAGAAGACGAATTCAGATGTGCGACTCGAGCGATTCGCGGTGAAGCCTTCCGCGCGCCTCCGAATTCATAAATTTTTGATTGACGAAAAACTCTTTCCCAGTGAAGGGACGAGATGTCAGGGATTCATTTCGTTCTGTTGTCAGCCGTCTATCGCGGATTTTATTCTGCCAACAGAGATCTCCAGCTCTCTCATCAACAGTGATCGGTGAGATCGACTTTGGATGGAGCTTTCAATTTCGTAGGGGCGAACCGGACGTACAGGGTCTCTTCAACCCTGCACGGTCTCATCAGTAGCATCACGTCGATCTCTATCACAGGCTCCAGAGGAATAATCTCGGGGATCGGCCGCACAAGTCGCGGCAGTGGTCGGATTCGTATTCATCGAGACGATCATTATTGTGGACCGACGAATTAGTTTTAATTATATTATGCCGAGTGATGTAGCGCCGCTCACGTCCGAGCACGGGTCAATTTATTAGCCCCGAAACAGTGCCGCTGAGAGATTGGTCGCCGTGAACGCCCCGAGCCACCCAAAACCCGCCCAGTAAGCCCGACGAAGATCCCTCATTGTGCTGTGGGCACAAAGGCACCCATCCGTCGACACCTTCGTTTCGCAGATTGTATATGACTGGATTATTCGATTGAACGATAAGCTGATAATTTTCAATGGTTGATGCAAAGTTTCGCCAAGAACCACAGAGGTTGGACTGTCAGGGCTCTAATCACCCACCCATCCTGGAAGACGATCAGAATTTCGGACGCAGTCGAAGGTAGAGCCCGCGATAGACATTGCCGTCGCGAGACATCCTATTCCAGCTCAGATTCCTGTGCAAATATAACATACAACATCGGGACAAGCTTCTCGCTACCCCCACAGCAGCTTCCCCGCCTCATCCCCATTAATCCCCGCTAGCCAGCTAGCCGCCCTCCCCCTCGTTCATCCCTGCGTCCCACAGGCCGCTGTCCCTGATTCTGACTGTTGATATTAATAGCTTCTTCTTGCTCGCCTTCGTCGAGACTTCTTTGCTCAGCTAGTGGAGAAGGAACGAGAACCAACCGGTGCGCGTTCGTTCATTAAATATTCATTAGATCACCATCATCATCATCATTCAGCCATTCATTCGAGCAGCCAGCCAGCCCGCCAGCCAACCAACCAGGCAGCCAGTCAGCCTACTCTGACGAGATATATGCAAGGCAGAGCCCCCCGTCTCTCCGCCTTGTTTTGTGTACGAAAATAATTAAGTGATCTGATGAATTTTCCGGACCGGTGCGGTGCCCGACCCGTATCGGTAGAGAAGTATGTTTGCTTTCGGGTAGAAATCCGATCCTCTCATTCGACGGAGTGACGGAGTTATCGCTTGAAAAATATTCGACATATTTCTCCCCCTGTCGAGTGCCGTTTCCGGTCGATGGTGGAGGAGATGGCAAAGAAAGATCGCAGCGACTTCGTACGAGTCGACGCTACGCGATTCTATCGTCGAGATCAGATCTTCCACTAGGGCACACGACAGCGGCGACGAATCCCTCCGCCAATGTCATTCTCGTCACCCTCATCCCCCGGTCAATTTGCCATCATGGATAGGATTACCCCCAGGCAAGCAGGCATCGCCGTCGTCGCAACCGAGGCCATCCGCCCAAGCGACGGACCTACGAACCACCCACCATCGAGCCCGCTAGGCAAGTAAACTCACCCACCTACCCCCGGGCTCATTTCACGCTTAGGCCCAGGCTGACGCCACCGCCATCAAGCTGAACGAATCTCAACCAACTATAGCAGCTCAACCAGCCAACCAACCAGCAGATCGACCGACCGAGCGAACGAGCGGGCGGGCGAGCGAACGACCAACAGCATGGGCTGAAAGTGAGCATTCACCCTGTGAAGTGCCACTGGAACACCCCTCCCCTCTCCCCCCTTCTCGTCAGAGGGATCTGAAAGGGGACGGTACGGGGAGTGGTTGCTGGAGCTGGAGGGACTGCAGTGGGGGAGCAGACCAACTCAATCAAAGCTCTACAGGATCGCTTGCATAACATGGAATTCAGGAACACCAAAAGCGACAAGATTCGCTACGAATTCCCCCAAAATACTCGAGCTGCAACAACTTGTTGTGCGAAACCACCCCATTCGAAGTAATACGGATGAATCCGGGAGAACATATGAGGCTCTACGATTACCCTGCACGTGCTCATAGAGCTGCCGCCTGCGCGGCTCACTCCTCCGAAATCATTGAGGAGGGCAGGGAGAGAGGGGGGACGGGGAGCGCTCCTCTCAAGAAATCGTTTCATTTCCGATGCTTCCAATAATTTCAAAAATATTCTTGCTTCGGCTCGGTGTGAGCCACTTCCGGATAGGATCGTTTTCGGAGATGTTTCGATATCGGATCGGCGGCTCTCACCGCGGCCATATGGTCATATCATTAAGAGGCCTCACTAAGGGAAATGACAGAGCAAGCGTTCTCTTGAGAGCTGTAAGACTTGAATTCCGCTCGAGTATTGTTCTACCTGTTGTTGGCATATCGCTTAATGTATGATTTTCGCGATAGCAGAGAATCATTCTTTTATGACCGAAGCTGCCGCTTTCTGAAGCTATACCTTTAGCAACTGTCTGCTCCTCTATCTTTGCGGAGCTACATCAGAAGATGCAATGCGGAGAATCTTCTTTGTCGTCAGCAACTCCAACTGTGCCTCGAGGCGAATTTTGCAGAGTCGTGATTTACAACGGACGCCGATCTTGCGATTGGAACGAGCTGAAGACATACGCTGTGCACGATATGAGGATGGCCACGGAGGTCGGGCAACTTCGCAATGATGGGACTCGGACCGTGACTGAGCGAAAGTGAAGACCGAGATCACGCCGCCGGGAAGAATATCATCCGACCGCCGCGGATCACACGACTCCTCGGAACGTAAATAGGACAGAATTTCCCTCTTCCCCCTTCCCCTACGAATCCCTATCGGTGCTCCCGGAACCCTGTCAGTGCACCTGTGGGAGCCCATTCGCTCAGAGGTAGATCTCCAATCCAGATTCGTAATTAATTCTGACACTGAATCAAAGTCTTGTCACAATGACATCTGACATTAGAGATATTCCTCTGGGAGAGGAGACCGGATCGAGACGAGTGAGGCCCGCCTGACGGACTACCCTCTACCCTGGACGATGACGACGGCGGCGGCGAGCACCACCACCACTACCACTACTACTACTAGCTCTGATGCAGCCGCCACCGCTCAGACTGACACCACAAGCGCTGCCGTCGCTTGGAGAGCTATCAGAAACGATGAAGACCTGTCAAACAGGTG